CTCTCTCTCTCTCTCTCTCTCTCTCTCTCTCTCTCTCTCTCTCTCTCTCTCTCTCTATATATATATATATATATATATATATATATACCTAAAAAAATATTTCATACATATCCTTTCAAAAACTTATCATTAGTTTTTTTATATGATTAAGTGATCAGATGAGTTCCAATCTCAAACTCTTGTATCAAAATTTTACCAAATAAATTGATTGATATCTTTAAAAAAAATTTAAAATGATATTTTGAACCCAAGTAAGTAGCTCAGGTATATCATCACTATATTAATCTTTATAGGATAAAGTCTAGTACTCTCAATATGGATCAAGTTAGATATAGTATGCAATAGTAATATTTATAGGATAAGGTTCTTAACCCTTCATATAAGTTAAGTGAATTGATGTAGATGATTGCACAATAATGAAAAATATTTATATAGTCGAAGTTAAATTATATTATGGTTGATTGTTGATGGTACATTGGGACACAAATTCCTTTAATATAGATTAATCATGTTATTTTAGGATCTTCATACTAAAATCATTCAATTTGTCCTTTCAAGTTATAGGTAAAAGAGGAGTTACATCTCAAATTCAAAACAAAGGAAAATGATACAATGACAGCAAGATTGAAGTGAACACAAAATCTTTGGATATAGAGATGGGCAAGCATGAGGATAATGATGAAAAGTGGAAAAGTGAGGATGAAATGGAGGATAAGAAACATGAGAAGAGATGGCCAAAGTGGACAATAGTGATGGAGAAGTTGGGCAAATGAGATAAGAAGAAAGATAAGGAGGAAAGGAAAAAAGAAGATGGGAAGACAGTAGAAAAGGATAAACCAACAATGAAGAAGAAGGTTGAAAATTGTGATCAATAGGACAAGTGGAAGGATGATGAGTTGAAGAAAGATGATATGAGGAAGTCCCACAAAAAGATATGAAGGATGGTCATAAATCTTGTGAACATAAATATACACATGGAGACTCAAAGAAATGGAGAGATGAAACATGATATTGAGGAAGTCCCACAAAAAGATATCTAGGATGGTAAATCTTGTGAACATAAATATACACAAGAGATTGAATGCTAATTGTCCTGACAAGTTGTGACTAATCTCTTCAAATGTGATGAGGGTATGGAAAGTATAACCCTTGAGATGGAAGGACTGCAAACAAGGGTTGGTCACAATGCCATGTTACATGTCAATTCACATGAATACATCAAAGCAACACTACACAACAAATAACAATACATATGCTCAACAGGTGAACTAAAAAAAAGAGGATTTCACACAGAAATTTAAGCACAGCTTCTGAAAACATAAAGCTTAATCTGCTTCCACTTTAACAATCTCATAATTCCACAGGAATCAACACGAATGATCAGAGCAGACACACAACTCAGATGATTTTAGGTCTGTGAAAGTGCAATAGATGAAACAAATCATGTCACCCCATGAATCTCATCAATTGCAACCAAAATTGAATTGACATCAGTTCAAGGCCACTCAAAGAGCTGTCAGGTGCTGATACCATCTAAAAGCCGCTTGGGAATCACAATAAGTAAGTAGATACCCATGCCATTGAGAGGCTGAGAAATAGAGACACCACCCAGTAAGCCTCCTTTCTAACATCAGCAGCAGCAGCAGCAGCAGCAGCAGCAGAAGCAGGAGATGACGTTGATAACCTATAAACCATGAAACAAAAAAGCCAAATGAGATATTTATCTATGAAAATTTGTGTTCCATTACTTGAAACCAATCAATAAAAGTGTGATACTTGTGGGATCTCGAGATGGATAATAAGCTATGACTAGGCACTTATAATGGAATCTAATTCTACCTTGCCGTTGTTGGTCCAGTTGTTAAACCAAAGCCAAATGGAAACAATGGATCATAGTGCATGTCCCCGACATTCATGGGGAGTTGATCCACAGACTTGAACCAGGTACGTGAAAGCTTCCCAGTGAATCCATAATCTCCAAAGAGAACATCAGTGACCCCTTGGCCTTCAGATCCAGGAAGCCAAGCAGCAATAAGCGCATCCATCAAGTGAACGTAGGGCTCAATCACGACAGGCCTGCCAGAGATGATAATGACAACACATTTGATGGCACCACAGACAGTCCGAATCGTGCTTGGGCCAGGGTCTGGAAGAGTGAGGTTGAGGTTGTCTCCAGCGGTTTCAGTATATGGGGGTTCTCCAACCACAACAATGGCATAAGAGAAGCCATTGTCTTTGACAAATTTTTCATCAGGGTTCTCGGAGTATACAACTTCAGTTGAATGGTCAACTGTGGTTTTAATGGCACCAAGTATTGTCGTTCCTGCATGGAAGACACTGTTCATTTCATAAACAATATTAAACAGTATCTTGCAAGTCTTGCACAAATACATCAAACATTTTTTTCTGGTGAAGTATTCTCCTAATAACTTTAAGCCACTAAAATGCATATCAGTGATTAATGCATGTCTCATCTTAAGAAAATGTTGCATTGCCAAAATAGTAGGTCTACAACAATGAGAAGTACACATTTGATGGTTATAATAACATGATAATGTTGCAAAAGTATATGAAGATAATATGAACAAAACAGAAACTCAAAAATGTATGTTAAATTGAAGAATTCCAATTTGTATGTTGGCAATTTATAACACTTCAAGCACATACGAAATATTGACATCACTTGGAACATAAAATAGAGCAGCTCAAAGTCCTTAAGAAAATATCAAACCAAATGAGATCATACATCAGCTATAATAGATTATTTCAAGGGAAATATCATGATAAGTATATAATTGTTGGAGAGGGAGTGAAGAATTCGAAACCAAATGAGAAACCAGAGATCAACAATAAAAAAAACACACCAAAACCAAAAAGTAAAGCAAGATTAATGTGTTTCAATGCTCTTTATCTATATTTATGGAAAAATCCAAATTCTTCCGCAGATCAATTACAAGCACCCTTGTTAATCCAAACTCTAGCGCAAACCCACTTGTGTATCGTCTCACATAAACCCTGAAAATTTTCTCATACTTTTTAGTCATCCTCTGTAAATCCTAAAGAGAAACCAAGAAACATCTAAAATAGTTTCTCACATATTGCTCCCTACCAAAACTTAGAGATACACAAGGTATTTATAAAATAATCAAACTCTTGTTTCCAATATTTTCTTCCTTCATGATTAGTCCTTCCCATACTAGAATTTCTTATTCTCCATGGACTCTTGGCTGCAAGAATGCAAAGATACTTGTCGACCCCAATAATCTTGTATAATTTGTGCTTCCCAAAGGGAAAGAAGATATGAAAACCAAAAAGAGAAACCAATAGCAAAACCAAGGATCTTTTAGTTTCGATGTCTTCTCTCTCCCCAACAAAATGCTATCATAGCCCAAAAAATCCGATAATAAAAAATTTAACAAGGATGAGCGACGAATATTGAAAAAATGTAAAACAAAGTATATTCTCTTTAGAAAGCACAAAAATTGTTGGGGTTGTCAAATATTTTTAGGATTCTGAAGCCAATGTCCTAGGAGGATAAGGAATTTTAATATGGAAATGATTACTTGTCAAGGAAGAAAAAGAAATTAGAGTTTGGTTATTCAATAAATACTTCATGTATCTTTAGGTTTTTGTGAGGATAAGATGTGAGAAAATACTTTGGGTATTTGATTTCTCTCGAGGGATCTAGAGAGGGTGAGAGACTAGATGTGAGAGAAATACTAACCAACCCCAACAAAAATTAAGCAAAGCATCAAAATTTGGCAGCCCTATTGAAGCTCAAAGCTTTTCAGTGGGTCTGGCACATGATAAGAAAAAAGCAGTTTATATAACTTGTTGGGTAAATGCCACCAGGACCATTGTAACATATTTAATATGCTTCACTATGAGACAAACATCAAATGTCTAAGAGATGCATATTTTTAAATGACAAGAACCACCCACTACTTGGTTTTGATTCACAAATTGGTCATCCTGAAAGCTTGAGAATGGGACCCATGAATTTTTGTGATACCATTCCAGACTAATCTGATTTTAAAGTTCTCTTATATCAGGGAGCTCAATTACAAAGGATGTAAGAAAAGCAAAGTCATAGATAGCTATGATAAGCACAATTTTGGAACTCATAGGAACTTATATGAGAGGGAAGGTTTTATAGTTTGTGTGTTAACTGTTAGGTTCCTCTTCTTTATCATTCTCTACCCAGTAGCATATCATAGTGTGCTCATGACTCCTGTGGGAGTTTCTATTCTGCGTATACAGCAAGCTAGTATACATGGAAGGCGAAAAAAAATAACTTATCAAGAATACACACCAACTGTGATATTTCCACTAGCTCCTTGCCATTCAATTGTCCATCCACCACACTGATAACCTAAATTGTCAGCATGGCTTCCAGCAACAAGGATCTTTGCAGCCTTTTTAGGAAGAGGCAGGAATGAATCGTTTCTAGACTTTCCATTTTTTAGTAGCACAAGAGATTTTCTAACAGCTTCCCTTGCCAACTCCCTGTGCTCCTGATATTAGATTCCAAGCCATATATGAAGCACTTCTGAAAACCTAGACAATTCTTAAAATAAAGGAAAATACACAAGAAACCAAAAATATGGATAAAGCAGATAACCTTCTTTCCTAGCTGATCAACTAAGCTAAGGTCAGCCAAGGGGTTCTCAAAGAGACCCATGGTGAACTTCACCCTCAGAATTCTTCTTACAGCATCATCAATTCTACTCATGGGGATGACATGCTTGTTAACCAGGGAGGTCAGGGCATTAATATATTCACTGTAGTCGTATGGAACCATCACCTGCCCAATAGAAGAACGATTAATACAAGAATAAGAGGAAAATATTAAGATGTCAAAATAAGATGGCTTGAAGTCTCCACACACAACAATTTCATTATTAAGGTTTTGATTTTCAAAGATGAAAAAAAAGAATGGTTGCTCAATAGCATAGAAGATACTAACCATGTCAATACCAGCATTAATTCCAGCTTGGACAGAGTAAGTGTAATTCGCACCTGGAGGGCTGGTTATCCTATCAATACCCTGCCAATCTGTGATGACAAACCCCTGAAAGTTGTATAGATATGTTTTTAAAAAAATGCAAATTTTACCATAAACAAAAGCAATTTACACTTCTTTGAAAAACATTGATAAGTTTGTTAACAAAAGCCTGATAAATTGTTAACTGGAACACACCCTAAAGTGAAGAGTGTTTTTGAGGTAGCCAGTGACTAGATCATGGTTTGCGTGCATTTTCACTCCATTCCAGCTTGAATATGAAACCATAACAGTTGCAACACCTTTCATGATCGAGTTGTAGTACGCAGGCATATGGATGCTAAGCAGTCCATCACGGTTGACAATGGTGTTATTCTCATTAATGCCATTGTGTGTCCCACCATCACCAACAAAATGTTTTGCACAGGCTGCGACCTTCACCCTAATCAATCAGCAATTATGATGATGGCTCTCAAAATCAAAATCATTGAATCATTTAAACAGTGTTACATGAAATAGCAAGCATCTTAGTTGAACATATGAAATTCCAAAACGATAGTGGCAGAAAAGGAATATGGCAAAGCATTTGGAGAAACAACCTTGAGGGCCTACGTAACCCTTTTATCTACTGTATAATTCTAGCAAATATGCATAATATGTTTAGCTGGATATGTGTGTGTCTCAATTACATCCTAAGTAGTAAACAATAATGGACAAAATACAAAACTTTCAATAAACAGATAAAAAATCGATCAATATTCTTTTAAAAATTTG